GGGCTGGTCGGTGACAGGTGCCACACCTGGTGTCCCCGCCCTCGGGCTGGTCAGTGACAGGTGCCATGCTCAGTATCGGGATCCCTGCACGCCGCCTTCTGATTGATGACAGGTGGGGTCGTTGCAGGGACTCGGGTCCAGTGACGGTGGTTCTGGGAGCCCCTGCAGGGGTGCAGAGGAACCGTTAGCCTGTTGCTAGGTGAACACTGAGTGCTGCTGCTGGTCTTGGGCTCCTGTTCTAGGTCACCTTGCAGCCTCGCTGCGTGTCGCTCTGCACCCTCGGGAGGCCCTGTCTCCCTGTGCCGTCTGGCTGCCTTCTCTGTGAGCTGGACCGAGCTCTGCTGAGACTGGGTGCTGCCTGTCCTGGGGAAGCAGATGGGTTGACTAGCGACTGGGCGTGGGGTGCCTGACGCCCAGCTCCCCTGGCCGGGGCTGCCCACGTCCTGCTGAAGCCTGTCCTTAGAACTCCCAACTGAAGGAGGAGGAGGAGGTTTTCGGGGCGGCCCTGTCTCCCGTGCCTGTGCTGATTCTCAGGCGGTCTGAGTGAGCAGGGCTGTCCCTGAGGCGGGGCGTAGGAGACACTTGGATGCCGAGAGGGGTGCAGGTCCCCAGGACAGGGAAGCGGGAGGTGCTGGGAGGAGGGCACAGCCAAGCCACCCTGTCTAGTGCGAGGACAGAGGTGTGGCCTTGCTGGTGGAGGGGGCCGGTGGGAGGTGTGTCCTCACTGCTCTTCTCTGTCCCACAGAAAGCCCCAGTGAAGCCGCACCCCTGCAGCGCTCGCAGTCCCTGCCCCCCTCAGCCACCGTGGCCCTGGGAGGGGCGTCTGACCCTGGTGTCCTCAGCAGCGCGGCCCTGAGTGAGAGGGAGGCCTCCCGGCTCGACAAGTTCCAGCAGCTCCTCGCCGGCCCCAACACGGACCTCGGTGAGTCTGTCCTGCATGAGGACACTGCTGGGGTGTGTGGCTGTGCTGGGCTCACCCCTCGCAGGGCTGGCCATGTCCCCCCGCTCTGCGGGGCAGTGCAGCACAACAGACAGGCTCGTGGTCCTCTTTGTGCTGTGTGCTTTCTGTTCCTTCTCCTGCCCCCACCCTCCCCTGCGTTCTCCTCCGAGCTGCCCCGCGGAGTGGGTCTGTGGGTCCTGGAGAGGAGCTGGGGCGCAGGGCTTGAGAAGGACTGACGCTGACAGAGGTGGCCGCTTGCTGCCTTCTGTGGGGTCATCGTGATGCTGCGGAGGGCCGAGCCAGCGGTGCAGGGGTCAGGCCAGTGTGGAGCACAGCGTGGGCGCCGCCGTGAGGTCCCAGTCGGGCCCAGCCCTGCGGTGCGGCCGGTCTGCAGCCCTTCACATCACCACCCAGTTTCTCTGTGTTCTGTGCTGACACTGCTGGACGAGTGTGGTCACGTAGCCTGGGGCAGCCTCGGTCTCTGTGACACTCCCCTCCATGTGCCCACGTTGACCTTGTCTGTCCTGGCTGACGTGCACCTAGGCATTCCTAGTTGTCTGTCCTTCCAGGCCTTCAGGGTATCTGCTCCACTGTCAAATTCTGTAGCAGATGCATTCACAGAGCGCCCCTATCCTACATGGTTGTGTTCACAGCACACCCCTCATCCTACAGGGGGTACGTCCACAGTGCACCCCATCACACACTGGACATGTTCACGGTGCACCGCAAAACCTGTAGCAGCTGCATTCACAATGCACCCCATCCTGCAGTGGACACATTTCCTGTGCACCCCCAAATCCTGAAATGGACACATCCCGCGCACCTCCAACTCCTGTAACAGACACATTCACAGCGCACCCCTTAATCTTGGAGTGGACATGCTCTGAGCACACCCCATCCTGTAATGGACATATTGACAGTGCACCCCTCAATACTGTATGGACACGTTCACAGAACACCCCTTAATCCTGTCGTGGATGTGTTCAGAGCACACCCCATTTTGCAGTGGACATGTTCACAGTGTACCTTCATTCTGTGGTGGGTGTGTTAACAGCGCACCCCTGTTTATACTGGATGTGTTCACAGTGCACCCCAACTTGCCGCAGATGTGTTCACAGCACACCCCTATCTTATACTGAATGTGTTCACAGCGCATCCTGTCCTGTAGTGGACATGTTCACGGTACCCCGCATCCTGTAGTGGACGTACCGTTCTGGGTGGACGTGTTCACAGCGCACCTTGTCCTGAGTGGACGTGCTCACGGCACACCCTGTCCTGGGTGTCCTGAGTGGACGTGTTCACGGAGCACCTTGTCCTGGGTGGACGTGTTCATGGCGCACCGTTCTCTGCACGAGGAGGGAAACAGCATGGAGGACGGGCCGCCCTCTCTCCTGTTTCCCCTGGGCATCTTGGGTGGGTGGAAGTCTTTTCTGAGAGAAAATAAGGTGGATGCTGTTTGGAGGAGCCTGGTCTGTTGGGCGCTGAGAGACTGGGCCCCCTTGAAGGAACACATGGTGGCAGTCAGGGGTTCAGACACACAGTTCAGACACTTTCTTTCCCACTCACACAGCTTTCATGATGTGGACAGGCTGAGGTGGGGAGGGGCCAGGTCACACAGGCAGAGAGTGGCTCCTGGGGATTGACCATCTGGGTGAAGCGCTGTCCACTGTCTGCTTGTGGCCACCTGGGGCTGCTCTCCACTCGTGGGTCCTTGTCAGCTCCTTCATCACGGGAGCTTTGGGACTGTGGGCTGACTCTGTAGAGGGCAGGAGGGAGACCGTGTGGGTCCGGCCAGGGGTGCTGGGGTCAGGCCAGTGTGGAGCACAGCGTGGGCTCCCCGGGTTTCCCCCTGGGCAGCCTTGGCCGCACGCGCTTCTCTGAGTGTTGATTGTAGATCTGTGTGTGATGAAATATTTGACAACGGCAGTCTTTTCTCCACCTTTCGTGATTTTGCCTGTTGGTCCAGTTTTGAGCATTTTGTTTTCTCTGGGCTGAACAGTGACTGCAGCACTGGCTCAGGTGTGTCAGAGATGATGAGGGTGGCACGTGGAGGACGGGTCAGATCTGTTGTTCACAGGTTGCTGTGGGTCGTGCTTGACTTGATGGCACCTAATGACAACAACGGAACAACAACTCATGGTAAGTGCTTAGCACACAACAAGCCCTCAGGACTGTTCTGGTTAACTTGATAGCGTTGTTGACCTAGCGACTTAACTTGGTTTGGTAATGCTGAGTTGGGAGGTGAGTGTGGTTTGTGGCTACTTTCTTGTTCGTGTGCGGTGATTTCTGGGAGCAGGCAGGTGGCAGGGGACCCCGGGGAGAGCCATGCTGACTTGAGGGGAAATGCGTCCTGACTGGGACAAGCAGGCCCTCCACAATCTTCCCTTTGACTTTGGTGTTGAGTGACCTAAGGGGGAAAATGCACATGTACGTGGAAAACGGTTGAAGTTTAATATGCAAAAGTTAAAGTGCTCTGGTCGATTTGTAGGATAACAGGTATTTTCTTTTCTTTGAATTTCTGTTTAATTGTCAAATTTAAACCCCTGAACTGAAAACTAAGGCTTCCTAGGTTCATGGTATTGGCTTTGTACTTAGGGTCAAGAGAAAGCACCACTGGTAGACTGGCCGCGGTTATAAGGAGCTGAGACAGCGCTGGGAGGTGACGGGGTGGGTTTCCTTTGCGCCACGAAGGCTTAAATAGCAACTATAGCTGCCAGCGTCAGAGCAAGCCCACTGAGGGGAACGGTGCCCGCTGGTGTGAGTGGTGCCCGCTGTGTGAACAGTGTCTGCTGATAGGAGAGCGCTCTCTGATGTGAACAGTGCCCATCAGCATTAGAATGCCCACCGAGGTGAGAGGACCTCGTGGTGTGTGATGTGAACAGTACCCACCAGTGTGAGATTGCCCGCCGGTGTGAACACATCTACCAGTGTGAGTGCACCCTCTGGTGTGAGCAGTGCCCTCCTGTGTGAGCGAGCCCGTCGGTGTGAGTGCACCTGCTGGTGTGAGCCCGTGGGTGTGAGCGAGCCTGTCGGTGTGAGTGCACCTGCTGGTGTGAGCCTGGGGGTGTGAGCGAGCCTGTCGGTGTGAGTGCACCTGCCGGTGTGAGTGCACCCGCCGATGGGAGCCGTGCCCTCAGCTGCCTGCCGCCTGCTCATGCCCTCCGTCCTGTGAGCTCCGTTCGTCTTTGATGAGCTGTGTTCTGTGTGACCAGGGAGGTAAGGGGCAAACAGACCTAGCAGCTCACTGTGTTCTCCGCGCTCAGTACTGACCGAGCAGAGGCCGCCTGCCCTAAGCCCCAGGGGGAGGGAGTCTGGCGAGCAGGGGACTTGTGGGCAGTTCACACACTGGGTGACTCCCCACGGGCCTTGGACAGCCACCATATCTCAGGGCTTCTCTGGACACCCCCTCTGGACATAGCATGTGCACAGGTCTGCCCTGTGCATCTCTGGGATGCAGATGTCACCATAAGAAGGGGTGAAGTTCCTCAGGGACGGCCTTCCTGCTCATGGGGGCTGGGAGGGAGATTTTTTTTTTAACAGCTTAATGGAATTTTATTTTGTGAAAAGCTTGACAAAATGCTATGCATTTTTTTTCTATAATTATATTTTATTAATTTT